AAGGAGGAACTTTCATGATAAGTTTTGTTTTGAATCTCCAGTTTTTAAATCTGGCCCTAGATGTGACTTGCCGTCAAAAGTATAAAACGAGCTCATATTAACTGTCCTATGCTCCAGAATGTTACATTAAGAAATTAATTTTATAAAGCGCTTACTTAAATTGTCTAATTTTATACGCTTTTGATAAACATCTATCGTATTTTAATTTACAAAAGAAATGCTTCTTTAATTTTCGAAAGGCATTCGCATTTCTTAGTAATTGTAAATGGTATTTGAAATTCGTAATCTATTCCAGCTTTGACGCGGTTATCAAGAAACGTTGAGAGATTTTGGATTGATTCATCGTTCTGAGAAACGTATTCTTTCTTGCAATAGAGTTACAGAGTTGAAAGTATAATCTGAAACGGATCATAAATCATCGCTAACACCAGTTTCTTTTGCATTTCTTAAGCGCAATGCCTGATGAACGGAGCATGACTAAAGCCATATCAGCTCCATTATCGTACAGATGTCAAAGTGCGCTGGGAGGACCTCTTAAAAGGAGCATCTTGAAAGCCATTTATTGTACCCAAAATTCATCTTAATAGCTTCCGATTTCTTATCATAGCACCTAAAAAAGGTTTCATCGAAAATGCTTTATGTACCCGTTAAGAAAAAGACATTCAGAACAAGCAAGGAAAACTAATTTGTTCCCCGCAAATCATCGTAAGGTCACCAAAATTTTCAAAGAAAATAACCTTTGAGATAATGGACCTCGAGAGAAACGAACTTGGTTTTTGTGCTACCATGACCCTGCTTGTTCAGACAGTTTCGCAACAACCCCCATCTCACCTTTGGTCTCCAACGCTAATAAGTCTTAAGAACTTCGAACACGGATTTTATCGCAATAAGATGCGATGCGCAATTTTCGCACCGAAAATATTCTATGACTCACGCTAATAGCATAGATTGCAGTTTGCTGTCTTAATATATTTTTAGGCGAAATAGAGATACATAAAATGATCTTCGTTAGAATGACACAGCGATTTGGTTGATTTTCTAACTAGGGTTGGCACATTCTTTTGTTTTGTCAACCTATACGATAAATGAAAGCGCCGTATTTTGACAGCTTAGTTAAGCTGTATGTATTTACAGCTATCTTTCATTGAAACGTTAATTAGAAAGCATTAACGATGAAAACGGAATGAAATAATGACACGTATATTATTGCATTCGATGTTTTGACCTATTAGAACAGTTTTAAATTGCTCGATGCAATATTCTAGAATCTGAGAACGTAAACATATTTTCTTCAGCAATACCAATAAATAATATGGTATTTCTGAGGTTAAATACGTTATTTCAAAACAATGGAATAAATGCTTTGAATTCATTCATTTAAAAGATCCATAACGTAGAAACGTTTGAAGACGAGAAGTGAATTATCACTATGTCTTGTAAGGTAACACAGAGACTGAGATAAGGTATAAAGAACACCTCAATCCATCCGGATTATTTAACTCAAAAAAATTTAACAGGTAAAAAAAAATAGAACAGCTTTTTTTTTTTTTTTTTTTTTTTTTTTTTTTTTTCTTACAGAAATATAGCCAGTAGTTATGGCTTAAATCAAAGATACTGAAATTGACTTTACTAAGTAAAGTAGGTTAGACTAACGCACAATAAAACTAAACGAGACCTTACAGATTTACCATCGTACGAGATAGACGTAAGGTGGTAAATTGGCTTCATGAAACCAAATTCGAGGAATTTCTTTCCCTTCTAGTTTGGTTGGCATAAAAGAATTCATTTGTTTTTCTGACATTTTCCTAGCAATTTTTATATGCACTAGAGCTCTAAATATCCGAAGCAGCAAACATCTCAATCCATCCGGCTATTCAAAAAAGCCAGATTTTTCAGTTGCCTTTTTCTGCGTAAAATAAACACCTGTTTGGTAAAGTATGAGTAAAAAATCCGTTTTCTCATTTGATGTGCAGTTCTCGATAATCTGACTTCGAACAGTCCAAATTCATTATAGTCAGGTTTGAAAATTTCAAAGTAAACTAAATTTTATTTTATAGCAAACTAAAATAAGTATAATAGCAAACTAAAAATAAATTCTACAAATTTCGTACACAGCACTGCTTTTAACATATTATTGATTTTTTTATTTAACTTATTAATGATATTTTTACTTTTAACGTCCAAGTGTCCTTTTTTGCACTGGTTTTGAAATTCATTTTACTGAAGTCGCCTGTAACATAGCAGAAACTAGACAGCAATTTGCATGAGGATTAATAAATGAATAACCATAAAAAATTACTGGAATGGTTGAAGCCTTCGAAAGAGAAGAGGAACACACTAAGGTAAAACTTAAATTAAGCAAAACAACAACGTTGCGTTTGACGTAGATTTTAACTGAAATGCTATCAATTTCGAGGGCGAGCAGGTACAGGTCTCTCTTCATCAGGAGAAAAAATACTTCTGCAAAGAAAGAAGAAACTGTATTTATTTAAGACTGAAGCCTCGTCATTGCAAACTGTCGAAGTTTATCCAGATATTGAACGTACTCTTACCATTTGTCAGATGGTAAACAATACAATTTGTTGCTACAAAGAAATGCATGACGAGAAAAGACCGAAGGAGAAAAATGTGCGGACATTGTCGATTTAACAGTTCTTAGGAAATAAAAAGTGAATTATGAAAGCATTCATTTTTAAAAAATTATTTCTAAAAAATGTGTGTTTATTAATCAATCGTGTTTTATTCATTGAAAAACAGAGATAACGTTTTTTTAACTAAGTATTATTTTGTGTGTGTTGTCTGTGTATTTACTCAATTATCTCAATTTCAAGCGGTCTGGTTCTAGAGTCATTAGGTTATTTCGTAGAAGAGATGAAAAATGAGCAGTGTCCTCGCTGAAACTCGAAACACGGACCACTCGAATACGCGCCGAGGGGGGCTGACCATTACACCACGAAGGCATGCTAAGAAGGCGGAAGAAAAGCCTTATATGGTATGCTGATGGAATTGATTACTCGGAATATCAGTAAAACACCAATACAGTATAGGAATACTGCATGGTATTACTGTAAATTTATTTCTGCAAAGATTATACGGGTTAGGAAATCAAATTGAGTTAATTAAGTAAAAAATGTATTGCACTTTATATTCAAGGGTAACCGCCCAGACGGGAAAGTAGTTAGTGACTCTGACTGCCGTACCGAAGGCCTCAGATTTGAATCCCAGAGAAGTCATGGATGTAAATTCTCTGTCCTTTCATAGGAGCCAACGGTAGCCCACCTATTAGATATCTCCATAATAGAGTGACCATCGCTTCTGGCCTTAGCATGGGCCAACGCTATAGCGAATAGTACCCGCCTTTGGAAATAAATATTCAAAAGTAAAATTACAGTTAATCATGAAAATCTAAAAAATAGTATATAGAAAGAACGCAACTTACACTAAAAGATTAGCAGGTGATAATTATCTGTAGATGCGTTACATGTGTGTGTTGTTACAGTAAAAATATCCTTGTTGCGAGAATCAATTAACTATAAAGTGTATTTATTAGTGTGCTCTTCTGAAAAATTTTCATAACAACAAAAATTTTAAGCGATTAATAATCTTTCTAAAAATGCTGTTAAAAGTGTAACGCTTGTTTTGACTAGAACGTTATTTCTTACACTGAATCATTCTATACTTTTACTATCTGATGTACTCCATCAGGAAATGCAAATTTAGCTAAGTTTAAATAAGAAGAGAGAACCTAAGTTTAGAAAAAGAATTTTGACAACTTATGCCGGGAGCACGGGGATTCTAATTCTTTCGGCTAGAGAATTGAGCTGATTATTGGTGAGTTACCTAGTTACTTTAAGTTATGAGAGTGGGTGCTTTAGGATATGAATCAGTTTTTTAAATTTTTAATATTTAATTCGAAAATAATAATAAAATCTGAAAGGTTTCAGATTTTAAATTACGTCCAAAGGGCCTTTTTTTAACATTTTGTGTGTTACCTTTATTTATTAAAATATCACATTCATCGCACTTAAACCATAAAATGCTGTTCAAGAGCAATATCGCAAAATAATTTTAAATTGAGCATATCTTTAGGATTTCCGATGCACAGTCTCTCGTGCTGGAGATAAAAATGATTTTTCTGTACACCGTTGCCATGGCTCGCTTTGAAATCCTTCAGTTTGTTAATCAAAAATTCGTTAAAGTTTTACAGAATATGAAATCGATAATAAAACAAATTCCAAATTTCAAATTTAGGCTTCCAGATGCCCATATTCGCAGTAGGATTAAGTCATTCAAAATTGAATGGCTCTAGGAACCGTTGTTTTATCACAATGCGAGAAACATATATACAATTATGTAGATTCTTCATTATTTAATTTCTTCAAATATAATAGAGGGAGATAATATTTGGTGGCAACAGTTCGAAAAGTGAAAGAGATATTTATAGTGATTCGACGCAAAATCGCAAAACGAAAACAATAGTCCCTCAGGAACAAAAGCCCCTTTGGACTAATAATGAAATATTATTGCATTCTGTGGCCGCATAGGAAAGAAAGGAAAAGAGAAAAAGAATGAATAGAGCGCAATGCGATAAACAGAATTGTATTTTATACCAGATTGACAAAATAATCTTTCGATAAAATTGATTTTGAAGACCCACCACAGTGTTGCCGCACTGAAAATAAAAACTTAAGTCTGAAGTTCGAAATGAAAATTTCCAGATATTTACAAAAACCTAGCTCGGCTAAAAATTCAAGAAAAACATCAATTTAAATCAGTTACCAACGCATATATAATCCAGCTTCTTCATAATATTATATTATTATCAGATGTTAACAGAAATGTGCGTTTTTTAAATATTTATTTAGTAAAAATTTCTCTCTTTAGTGATAGATTTTATTTAAATAACACTCGTAACGTTCAAATAGTTGAATCATATATGAAAGTGTATTTAAGAGCTGTTATATTAGTAACTGCAATATAGCAACTTACGAAAGGTCTTTGGAAATTGCTTTTTCGGAGTAACCATTACAAGAAAGTTCGAGGCATTTTCAGAATAGCTTCGCCCACTCGGTAAGTCAACACCTGTTCCAACCTCAAAAGTGCAAAATATGACTTGTGTCGATGTAAGACCTAGAAATAAAGAATGTACTATCTGTAAGTCGGAGATTATTTACTAGGCCTTTTAAACTTGAAAACTCTGATTTTAATTTTTGTTTACCGATGAATCAAAATATTTTATTCCAGCTTGGAAAAATTATCGTATCGTTTTTATACTATACAGATTTGAAAAATAAAATTTTGCTTTGTTGAAAATTTAGTGGCCGTAACATTCAACAGCTAACAAAACATTAAAACTGCTTGTCTAATGTAATGTAAGTAACATATACGCATGATATATGTTTCGTAAAGCTTTTAGGGTGCAAAAGTGTTTTAGTGTTCTGACTGGCTGAAGTACATAAGAAAACAAAATATTATGCAAAATGTTTTTTCTATAAGCTGAGTATGAAACAACTAACAATACATATCATTTTCAATATGACTCGATATTATACATGTAAATAATTATTAAAGCACATTTTTTGAATCCGAAAAATTAAACGGCTTAATTTATCAATGCCAGTGATTCAATGAAGCATAGGAAATATTTATATTGACATGCACATGTCTGAAACTGAAAGATTAGCGATATTTTTGTTGTGCACATAAACGGAGATAATATAATTAAACAAATATTAAATAAATAATATTATGAAAATTATAATTGACTTATTTTTTATAATAATCAATTTTAATCTTTATGTTTAAAGTTTCAAGCGTATTGTGCTTATTATTTTCCCTAAAATAATAATCACAATACGCTTGAATAATCACAATACGCTGTTCTAAAATGAAGATGCCACACTTGTCAGAAAGGCCTTCTTAATACACATATTTTGGTTAATTTTGACCCACAGCCATACATGGTTGCCGACGCCTGGATTAATCTATGCTATTGGTAATATTTTTAAACATCAGAAGTAAAACAGTTACCGTCTCTAGAGTGCAATATGGATATTTATGAAAAAAATGAAAGTGCGAGTTTTTTAATTATTATTATTAATTTCAAGTCCATTTACGAAGTTTTTAATAAAAAAAATTATAAAGGTGTTATAAAACGATTTGCCAAAAACCAAATTCTAAACTTTTATAAAACCGGTAACTTTTGAAAGAAAACTTTCGAGAAGACCAGTTTTAATATTAACAAACCTAAGACAAATCACTGCGGAAATATGAGAAAAAGACTTTTATATTTACAATAATATAAAATACAGGAACTCCATGAAAATAGCCTTGCTGAATATTTTTAAGACTATATATTTATCCATACAATGCACGGCGAGCAAACACGCTCAAAATGAGCTCAAGTCCTTTATCTCGGGCTGTTAATTTTCGGTCTTTTATGGCGGCTTCGAAATAGCTTTTTCTATGATCACAGCTGTCCGACATTTAAAACATTCTCTGCATTTATTTCTTGGCGCCGAAGTGAAGTGACTATATAACATGTACGCAGTATCTGATACAGAAAATAGACGTCAAACAAAATTTCCCAGTAATGTTGTAGCAGCTTTCCTTGGCACGCAGCTATAAAATATTGCTCATAATTGCGAAGAACGGCATAAAAGTTAGATACCGCATTTTGAGGGTTTAAGTGAGATTTACAGAACGAGAATGGAATTGCTACAAGCGGTTGCAAGCTTTCTCTGCTCATTTTAAAAGCCCGTAAAAGGATAATATTTGACTTGCAGTATCACTGTTAACACACTTTGTTGCAAGCTAAATTTATATTTATGATAGATTTTATTTATATTTTCTAATATTTTTATTTAAAATTTTATTTAAATCTGTGTTTTATTTCGGAGATTTTCTTTTATATCGACTTTGAAATTGTATATCAAGCACATTTTAAATGATGGGAGGAATTATAAATAATAAAAAAGTATTAAGTAATTATAATAGTACTTACAACACTAAATCTAAATTCTGAGTAACCTTCCTATACATGGCAAATGAATTCTCGTCCCGTCTTCGAATCTAGAAATACAAAGAGATTGCAACCAATGTAAAATCAATTAAAGCATTTATTTATACTTCTGCATATAAACTGAAATGTTTAACGGAACTTGTTACGAAAAACTAAAATGTTTAGCAGAATTAAAATGTTAGCTAAAACGTTTAACAGAGCACGTTACAGAAGCTAAAATATTTAATAGAATTTATTATAAACACTCAAATGTTTAATAGAACTTGTTACAAACGCTGCTTCTGTGATGCACTTATAAACTGAAAACTTAGAAATTGCGTTTTTGCTAAAACGCCTTTCAGCATATGAGCAAGCAAAGCCGAAACTCAACAACAAAATCACTGCACAGCACTGTAGAAAGCAGAAGTTAAAACGCTCCTGGCAGAAACTGCTAACACTCTTGCTCTAAATTTAGATTCTCACTCGCTATTTAATCTCGCTTAGTTTTCATTTTTGATGGAATTAACGGAAAAAAGAAAAGAAGGAAAGGTTTAACACAAAAAATAGCATGGTAAATGAGGTATACAATACACATTCAGTGGCAAAAACAGAAGAGGCTATTCCATTAGCGCGCAAGGCTACGACTTTGGAACTCTCATGAAAGAATCCCAAAATCGTCAAAGAGATGTCCCCCCCTTCTCTTGTATATCTCACATATCCTCTAAACATATATTGTATATTGTAGATATCTTACGTTAGAAATGCTAGAAATTAAAATTTATCAAAAATGCAATTTAGATTGGCTTACACTTTGAATACGGAATCAACTCGCGATTAACCGGTCTGTACAATGATCCATTCAGGCTCGACAGGAACTTAAAGGGCAATTCAGACTGGGGTTTATCTGAGCTAACGGAGTCAGTTCCATGTGTTGACTAGCTCCGCTATGCCTGCAGTTCAGATTTTTTAACTCGCTGCGCTATGGGAAAAAATTGGTTTTGGAGATGGCTCAACCAAGTCAGTTGTCTCCGTTAGCTCAGGTAAATCGCAATATGAACGGCCCTTAAGGGTACTGTAAGGGTCAAGTCTGTCTGGAGCTGTGTGATCGCTCCATATTAAGTAATTATAAGGGTGATCCTCGGGATTTTTGGCCTCCTGGGATGAGAGACTATAAAAATAACCATGTACGGGCTACTAGGTCTGTTTAGATCTGTGTGGATCTCAAGCTGGTACAATATGGACAGAACAAAGGATTCTTCTTTCCTAAACGGACTGTAAAAGGGATTCAAAGCGGATTTTTTCGTGAAGTTTGTACATACGTATATATACCTAGCATAGCTCATAAACGATCAGATGTAAAACGTTGAAATTTTGTATATAGGGCTACTTTGACTCAAGGATAACTAATAATAATAATGACAAGGATAACTACTGTCCTGACTTTTCCTGGAAAAGTCTTGCAAGTTTCTTCCTTTTAGTCATCTTGGTAGAATACCATCTGAAACTAGCTAGATCCCTCCAAGAGAAAGGTTACCAGCCTAGATGGGATTTATTACAATCAGAAATATGTATATTAACAGTTACACTGAATATCAAATACGTGAAAAATTTTACATCCTGCATAGGTAACTGCATAGTATAAATGTCCAAGTTACGTAAGTTCATGACTCTACCATGATATGTAAGTCCATAATAATAATGGCATAAATGGAAGTCCTACAATATTCTTGTAATATAAGTTCTGATATATTTTAGAGTTTAATCGAAGGTGTTACCTGTTCCATTCTATTATATTGCGTCTATTAACTGAAACATAACGTACCGCACAATAGTTGATAATTTCACTTAGTTTCCTTTTAATTTTGCAAATTCAAATGAATGTCTACTCATTGCGGTAAAAACTTCTCTGTTGGTGACCAAAGGTGATTATTGGCTATTACAATTGCAGTTGACTACATGATGATCGTGATCGCCAACCTTAGCACACTTGACAGTATTCCAAATCTGCTAGCTCAAATCTTTTAAGACAATTTGGAAATAGGCGCATGACCAGTAAAGAATTTTGTTGTAAAACTATTGCACGCTTTAAGTTCTAAATTCACTTTCGGAAAAACCAGTGAGTTCGTCTTCCCGTTCCTATGTTATCCCATCTGTCATACCATTCTTGCTTCATTTAATTTTTTGTTTTACACTTTAGCCATGGAGATAGAAGATGCTTCCGGAATTTCCAACAAGTTTACATAATATGGATGCGAATTTATCTAGTTGAACTGCCATCTCATTTCCTTGTTTTTCTATGTGCGCTGAAACCCAGCAAAGTTATAGAACTGCTATAACATTTAGTTGTGCACCTCTCTATTTTACTGTAATCAGCAGTACCCAAATTGATTATGTTTAATTAAGTCTTTGGAGCCTAGTTGCAGGATTTTACTTGCAATCAGCAGTACCAAAAGTGTATGTATTTTTCCTAATGTACTCAAACTTTATATACACAGACACATAATTATAGAAATGTTTTAAATGACAAAAATGTTTTTCCAATGTCAAATTTTTAAAGAAAAGTTAATTTTTGACAAATTGTGAAATTTAACTTTTAATGCAGTCTCCCGTTTCCTATGCTTTCGTTTAGGAAAGTTTTATACTTGTTATGAAAAAATAAAATTATAAGAAATTTGACTCCCGTACTACAAAAATTGACCAGGATATTGAATTTCAAAATTTGAAATTTTTGATGTCATTTCCAACTTGCTTTGAGGAATTGGTTAATTAAATTAGAATAATTCGAAACAAGTAAGTGCAGCAAAAATGTGTATAATTTAATAGGCCGTACAAGGAAGTCATGTGATGTCCAAATCAGATTATCTTGCTTAATTTTAAATCGCATCAACCCAAGGTGGGTTTTTTTCCCCTTACTTTTTAAATAGCGTCAATATGTTAACAAGGTAAATGCAATCAATATCTTTGCTTCACTGTTGTCTAGCGTGTCCACTGGTAAAATGAATCATCATAGAATATTTAAGGAGACAGTATTGCATTCGTACTTCAGAAATTATTTTTTTAAAAACAGTAAATATATCCTATATCTTAAAACAAAGGAGCACACGGGTTCAAGAGAAATGGGTCTCCCCACTTCATAATACTATAACTGCACTCTGGCTTCTTCTTTGTAATCTCAGGATAACTACAGACACTTCATACGAGAGTACCGGTATTATTCAAGGTTTGCAGTATTAATCGAAATACTAAAAACAATGATAACTTCGGTAAATCGAGTTTTTCTGCATAATGCTCCATCTGGTAGACAAATGAGTTATTTGTAAAGTGAATACGTCTGCAAGCATACGGCTTTTCAAGTGGATACATGCAGTACCTCAGCAAATGGCGTCACCGCAAGAAAAGGCACAAATTGTTCTTTGGTATGCAGAACACAAATTCGTAGTAAAAGTGGCAACGGATGTTTCAAACAGTTTATAAAAGAAATCCACCCCAGAGGAAGAGCATGAAAAGTGGCACAAAACGTTTCTGGAAACAGAAAGTGTACGGAAAAGATCCGGAGGTGATCGGCGTTCACATTCTGATTCACGTGTGGAAAATGTTCGACAAGCTTTCGTTTGGAAGCCTCGTAGGTTCCAAACGAAAGCTTGTCGTTTTCAAACGAAATCGCCTCGTATAGATTCCAAACAAAAGCGCTTCGTATAGATGAAGAGATAGTTTTTTGTTTTTTATTTTAAGTTTACTTTCCTGTTTTAGTGCAATTTTACCTACAACTGTGTCTTTCTAAATAACGTGCTCCAAGTAGCTGACTTCATATTTTAGATCAAAAGCAAACTTCTCTTCTTAAAATTGTGTACAACACAAACTGCTGTGATTCTGCATATTTTATATCACTCTGTTTAATGACTAAAAACAGAAATATTTAAGTGTACACTTATTATCTCATTACAATATATTTCCATGAATTTCTTTAATTTTAGGGGGCAGACCTAAAATTCCTTAGACAATGTGATGCCTTAAGTAGCACACGTCACAATCCGTTCTGCACCTTCAAGCGTATCCAGCAAGGGACCCTTTCGCATGCCGTAATTCGCCTAATCCAACATCGGCGAAGCACTACAGGGTATCCGAATCAAGCGTACCTATATATGCATGCCTCTTCAGTTTTCGATGCAGCTGATCATGAATAGTTAGTTGATCGTGGTAGAGATAATTCAGAAGTTGCCCACCTGATTGACTGACGAGGGTTCCAAACGAAAGCTTTTCGAACATCTTCCACACGTGAATCAGAATGTGAACGCCGATCACCTCCGGATCTTTTCCGTACACTTTCCGTTGCCAGAAGCGTTTTGTGCCACTTTTTTATGCTCTTACCCTGGGATGGCTTTCTTTTATAAACTGTTTGAAACATTCGCTGCCACTTTTACTACGGATTTGTGTTCAGTATACCAGAGAACATCTTGTGCCTTTTCTTGCAGTGACGCCATTTTCCCGTTTGCCAACTCAACAAAAGCGCAGACGCGAGAATATTGTCTCGCGTCTAAAAAAAAATATTGTATTCAGAAAAAATATTGTATCCAAACTCTACGAATTCAGCTCCCACATGTGGCCAACATCGCCCTCGTAGCACTAAAACTTTGTTTTTAATCGACTGTTCAAAATAGGTAGATTCGGACACCTTGTAGTAGCACTAGCAATTCTATCCCGGTTCAAATCCCGGTGAATAAGCTGGTTGTTTGGGAGTTCGCGAGTTTTTCTCCTTGTGTAACCTCCGTGAATAAGTGATGAGTGATGTGCGATTATGGCAAAGCCTCGAGGGCTATCTGCTTAAGGAGAGGATGCCTTCGTGGAGGACTTTCTATGGGAAACTGGCTCGTATACACGTTACACATGGGGAAAACCATGAAAACGCCCATGCAGCCATCCCGTTCGCGGGATTCGAACCTCGGACAGAACTACCAGTGTTCAGCGACTTTACCGCTCGGCCGCTGGTGGGCCGTGTACCTCCGTGAATATGAGCCGATCATCCCATAAAAAGTCCTCCACAAAGTCATTCCTCACCTGAAGTAGATAGCTA